TAGTCTATAGTCTAGTCTATAGTCTAATCTATAGTCTAGTCTATAGTCTAGTCTATAGTCTAGTCTATAGTCTAGTCTATAGTCTAGTCTATTGTCTAGTCTATAGTCTAGTCTATAGTCTAGTCTATAGTCTAGTCTATAGTCTAGTCAATAGTCTAGCCTATAGTCTAGCCTATAGTCTAGTCTATAGTCTAGTCTATAGTCTAGTCTATAGTCCAGTCTATAGTCTAGTCTATGGTCTAGCCTATAGTATAGTCTATAGTCTAGTCTATAGTCTAGTCTATAGTCTAGTCTATAGTCTTGTCTATAGTCTAGTCTATGGTCTAGTCTATAGTCTAGTTTAGTCTATCTAGTCTATCTAGTCTAGTCTATAGTCTAGTCTATAGTCTAGTCTATAGTCTAGTCTATAGTCTAGTCTATAGTCTAGTCTATAGTCTAGTCTATAGTCTAGTCTATAGTCTAGTCTATAGTCTAGTCTATAGTCTAGTCTATAGTCTAGTCTATAGTCTAGTCTATAGTCTAGTCTAGTCTAGTCTATAGTCTAGTCTATAGTCTAGTCTATAGTCTAGTCTATAGTCTAGTCTACAGTCTAGTCTATAGTCTAGTCTATAGTCTAGTCTATATTCTAGTCTATAGTCTAGTCTATAGTCTAGTCAATAATCTAGTCTAAAGTCTAATCTATAGTATAGACTATAGTGTAGTCTATAATCTACTCTTAAGTCTAGTCTGTAGTCTAGTATATTGTCTACTCTATAGTTTAGTCTATAGTCTAGTCTATAGTCTAATCTATAGTCTAATCTATAGTCTAGTCTACAGTCTATTCTATAGTATAGTCCATAGTCTATTCTATAGACTAATCTATAGTCTAGTCTATAGTCTAATTAATAGCCTAGTGTTTAGTCTAGTCTATAGTCTAATCTATAGCCTAGTCTATAGTCTAGCCTATTGTCTAATCTATTGTCTAGTCTGCATTCGAGTCTATTGTCTAGTCAATAGTCTAGTCTATACTCCAGTCTACATTCCAGTCTATAGTCTAGTCCATAGTATAGTCTATAGTCGAGTTTATAGTCTAGTCAATAGTCCACTCTATATTCTTGTCTATAGTCTAGTCTGTAATCTAGTCTATAGTCTAGTCTGTAGTCAAGTCTATAGTCTAGTATAGAGTATAGTCTATAGTTTATTTAATAGTCTAGCCCTTAGTACAGTCTATAGTCTAGTCTGTATCTACTCTTAAATCTAGTCCTTAGTCTAATCTATACTCTTGTCTATAGTGTAGTCTATAGTTTATTTTATGGTCTCGTCTGTAGTCTACTCTATAGTCTAGCCAATAGTGTAGTCCATAGTCTAGCATACAGTCTAGTCTATTAAAAATAAACTATGTACTAACAAAACTTTTTACAATTAAACTAATCTAGTATATATAAACTTATGTAATAATCATTAGAACTAGTCCAGACAATATGGACTATTTTATAGACAAGAAACCTAACGTTTACTTGACATTTCACAAATTGCAAATCAATTAGTTTTGCCAATAAACCTAAAAAACTATAATTGATTAGTAACTGTCTAAGTGTAGCTATAAATAAGCTATAAACAAATTGCATTAAAACTTAAATTTCCACACAATTAGCTGCTCAGCAGGAGCTTGTCATAAAAGAAAATCGAAAGATTTAAGCAACAAGCACATTTTTACAACATCAAAAAAATATTTTATTTTACACGACTTCATAAAAAGTTTATATGTTAAATGACCTAAAAAATAAGCCCAAAATAAATAATCAATTAAATTTGTAATCAATAAGCTAAACTTTCTAAAAAAAACAACAAAAAAGAAAACATGTTTATTAGAATTTCACATATACATAAGAAAATCTAGAGAAAATTGCTAAACAAAATGTGCTAAAAATTCTTTAAAAAAAAACTAAATTCTGATCAAAATAATTGCTAAACCTCAAAATCATACACGGTTTATTATTTAGGGCTTTTGTTAAAAAACCTAGAACTTTCAAATCAATAATTAATTACACCTTTAGATGTATGTACCCTACCAGATCGTATTACTTTTAAACTTAACCGAAATCTTTATAAAAACAAACTTGCATGATGAGGCATGTTTAAGTTTCAAACTACCAAAGGTCATTAAACTTTTATTAAAACTAAAACAACAAAACCACGTAATCACTGTTATGTATTATTTTTGTTGTTTTAATAAATAAATATGTTATTTTCTTTCGTTATTGTTGTTGTTGTAGTTTAATGTTTAAATTATAATTATAGAGCTTATGCTCACCGACCATCTCAAAGAAGATGTTACAAGTTGGTTTGGTCGTCTTCGAAGTTTTGAAACAAAACCGAAAATTAAACTCAAGAAGTTTTTTTTTGTTTTTGTTTTGGGCGGTTGACTTTTTTTCCTTATTTATGCATTATGCTTTTGAAGTTTCAATATTCTTATTAAAGTTGCTTCAGCTTTTTGTTAATAACATGTGTGGCATTATCATACATTGTAATTAAAATGGAAAGAAATTGAAAAATAAAGTAAAATATGAAAGAACTTTAACATTCATTTCCAAGTTTAGAAATTTGTTTGGGAAAATAATTATTTTTTTGCACATTTTTTTTAAACATTTGTGAAAGGTTCTTTGGAAGTTTTTTTTTGTAAGTAAATAAAAACAATTCAATTGAGATAATTTATTATTATGCCTCTTACTTTAAACATCCTAACCAATAATTTTTAAAAAGTTTAAAGTCTAGACTATACACCAGACTATAGACTAGAATATAGATTAAACTATAAAATAGACTACAAACTAGTCAATAGATTAAACTAATGTCTATACTTTTGACTTGTTTATAAACTAGACCATAAACCGGTCTATAAACTAAACTATAGACTAGATTACAGGCTAGGCTATAATCTAGACTACAGACTAGACTATAGATTAAACTATAAACTAGACTAAACTACGGACTAAATTATACACTAGACAATAGACTAGACTTTAAACTAGGCTATAGTCTAGACTAAAGGCTGTAGACTAGACTGAACTATATTCTAAACTATATTTAGTCTTAACTATAGATTAAACTATAGTTTAAACAATTAACTATACTACAAACTAGACTATAAACTACACTATACTACAGACTGGAATGCAGGCTAGACTATAGACCAAACTGTAGATTAAACAATAGACTAAACTACAACCTAGATTACACACTAGACTATACAGTAGACTTAGACTAGACATAGAGTAGACTAGACTTTATACCAGACTATAGTATAAACTTTAGACTAAAGTATAGTCCAAACTATAGATTAAAATATAGTGTTTACTATTAACTTGACCATAGACTACTGACTAGATTGTATAGACTATAGATTAAATTATAGGCTAGACTTTAGACTTGACAATAAATTAGACTACAGACTGGACTATAGCCTAGAATATAGATTAAACTATAGACTAGATCACTGACAAGACTAGACTATAGACTAGACAATAGTCCAAACTATAGATCAAAATATAGACTAGACTACTCACAAGACTAGACTATAGACTGGAATATATACTATAGTATATTCCTGACTATAGATTTGGCTATAAATTAGACCAAAGGCTTGACCATATACTAGGCTATATACTAAACTATAGACTAGACTATAGACCAGACTATAAACTAGACTATAGACTACACTATAGACCAGACTATAAACTAGACTATAGACTACACTATAGTCTAGACTGTTGACTAGACTATAAACTAGACTTTAGACTAGACATTAGACTAGACATTAGACTAGACTTTAAACTAGACTTTAGACTAGACTTTAGACTAGACTTTAGACAAGACTTTAGACTAAACTTTAGACTAGACTTTAGACTAGACTTTAGACTAGACTTTAGACTAGACTTTAGACTAGACTTTAGACTAGACTTTAGACTAGACTTTAGACTTGACTTTAGACTAGACTTTAGACTTGACTTTAGACTAGACTTTAGACTAGACTTTAGACTAGACTTTAGACTAGACTTTAGACTAGACTTTAGACTAGACTTTAGACTAGACTTTAGATTTGGCTATAAATTAGACCAAAGGCTTGACCATATACTAGGCTATATACTAAACTATAGACTAGACTATAGACCAGACTATAAACTAGACTATAGACTACACTATAGACCAGACTATAAACTAGACTATAGACTACACTATATTCTAGACTGTTGACTAGACTATAAACTAGACTTTAGACTAGACATTAGACTGGACATTAGACTAGACTTTAAACTAGACTTTAGACTAGACTTTAGACTAGACTTTAGACTAGACTTTAGACTAGACCTTAGACTTGACTTTAGACCAGACTTTAGACTAGACTTTAGAAAAGATTTTTGAGTACACTTTAGACCTGACTTTAGATTAGACTTTAGACTAGACTTTAGACTAGACTTTAGACTAGACCTTGGACTAGACTTTAGACTATACTTTAGACAAGATTTTAGACAAGACTTTAGATTAGACTTTAGACCGGACTTTGGACCAGACTTTGGACTAGACTTTAGAGCAGACTTTAGACTAGATTCTGGACTAGACTACAGATTGGACTTTTATTTCACACTAAAGAGACAATTAAGTTTTTGTCATATCATGTGCAAAAATACCCCTTTTCTTTTCAAAATTTTTTAAATAAAACTGCAAGTCATAATTTGTTTAACAATTAAAATATAGTTAAACAAAAAAGAAAGAGAAAAGAAATGTTCCAACAAAACACCATTAAATTGTAACAATTTTCGCTTGTCACAAAGCACTAATTGAAAAAAAATAAAATTTTAAGTAAATAAATAACAACTTTAGACATTTCTTATTTTTTTTTCACAATTATGAGAATTAAATTAAATGAATAAATAAATTGAAAGCAACAGGAAAAACAAACTTAATAAAGAATGACAACATAAAAAGAAGGGAAAAAAAGAAAGAAAATAAGACACACTTACCGCTAAGTAGAATTTAACCGTTAAAAAATGATGTGTGGGTTGTGAGGCCCGATGATGATGTTGATGATGCCTTTGTCGCATGTGTTTTAATATATTGTACTCCATTGTATGTTCTTTGTTATGATTATTATTATTGTTGTGATTTTATTTAGATTTAGGGTAAAAAGCACAAAAATTATGCTTGCTCAGACATGCATAGAAACTTTTACATATATAGACACTCACACGTAATATTAAACGCTTTTTTTTCAACTAAAAATTAAAGAAAGAAAGAGAAATAAAAAAAATTAAGTTTATTAAACAAAAAAATATAAAATAAATTGTTTTTTAGATAAAAAGATTATTATTACATTTTTAGGCTAAAAATAAAACAGTGTTGCAAAATTATGTTAATTATGTCAAAATAATAATATTTAACAAGAACTTTTTATTTATTTATTTATTTTTTTTTTTTTTTTGTTTTGCTTTGCCAAACAAAAGATTTAAGTCACATACTTGATTAATGACTGACAAGATTCAAAATAAATTAAATGTTTTATTTCTTCATTCTCAATTGCTGCGACATGTGTTGATAATTTATTTTCTTTTATCATTAAAATACAAATTTGCTTTGGTTTTGAAACACATAAAAAAAATATCTGTGTCATCTTTTTTTGAAACATTGAAAGGGGGGGGGGGTGGGTAGAGTGAGTGTTTATTTGAAATTTAGTTTAGTGGGTTAGAAAAGTCATTTAGATTTTGAAGTTTGAAGTAAACAAATTTTTAGCTAGAAATTGATATTTTATAAAGCAATCTATGAAAATTCTTAAATTAATTCATAATTATACCCACAGGACCACCCTAATATTGAATCCTTCATTAGCTTGGGTAATTTGAGCTCAACAGATTGACGGACATGATTGAATTAGTTCTGTTCTGATTAGAGCTATTCGACTATGAGTAAGATAAAGGAGACTATCCTGCAAAGTTATTATTTATTATCATTAGTTCTTTGAGGCAACGTACAACCCTAATTTTCATTATTAATTCAAATTAATTTCAACATACTGACTGATTTTACCAGACTGACGGACATTGCAAACACGCGATTTAACCTTTAAAGATCTTGACTACAAATATGCTAATAGCTGTAATGAAAAGGAAGTCTTGTAGAACAAATTATTTTTTCCATATAAATAGGACATTCCTAATGTCTGTTGCTTAATTAAAACCTTTTAAACGCTAATTTCAACAGACTGACGGACATGATTGCATAGATTTCTTTAGCTTTAGAGATTGAAAATTGAAAAACATAGCACCCTAATGTTCGTTTTTTATTGAAAAGTATAGAAAAGTTAATTCAACGGACTGACGGACATCGCCTAATCAAAACTTTTACTTTTCAAGATCTCAAAATATAAATAGGCTAATGTGGTTAATAAAGGAGAACAATTATTTCATATTTTTTTCTTCTTCATACAAACATAACCACCCTAATATCTGCTATTTAATTGTTATACCCACCATCAAAAAAGATGGGGGGTATATTGATTTTGTCATTCCGTTTGTAACACATAGAAATATTGGTCATAGACCCACAAAAGTATATATATTCTGGGTCCTCATTAAATTCTAAGACGATCTAGCCATGTCTGTCCGTCTGTCCGTCTGTCCGTCCGTCCGTCTATCTGTCTGTCTGTCTGTTGAAAGCACGATAGAGTCCGAATGGAAAGAGCTAGAGGGTTGAAATTTCACATAAATATTTCTTATAGGTAAGGTTTGTTTGGTATTGAAAATGGGCAATATCGGTCCACGTTTTCGGATAGCCCCCATACAAGTGGCCCCTCGAAAAGCAGCTTTAACAGCCATAACTTGTTAATATTACAAAAGTATATTACAACAGACTGAACGACATCATTAAGTAAATTTGTCTACTTATAAGGATGTTAATGTTAATATTTGCACATTAATAGGTAGTTATTAAGACAACAATTATTTTGTGTTTTTAATTTCTTCATACAAAGGTGACCACTTTAATAATTAACTACTTTTGCATATACTTACAAAAGTTGATCCGGTTTCCTCTTTTACAAATTTCTGAAATATACATGTAATAAAAAAAATCATGACGAGGAAAGAATTATATCCCATTATTATTTCATTTATACAAATAAGGACGCCCTAATATTGGTTAATTAGTCATAAACTTTGTTGTTTTGAATTTAACAGTCGTTTGGACATCCATAAGTCGGTTGCTCTACCTAAACATTTCATAAAATTAAATGACTAATGGAGAATATTTATTGCTTGCTTTTTTTCTCAAAAAGTGCCACCCTAATATCTTTTATTTATTCATAAACATTGAAATTTTGACTTCAACAGCATCCAAGACAGACGGACATCCATGAATCGTTAGATTTGCCTGAAATTGTCTAAAATATAAACTAAATATGAAGAATTATAATGGAGACCAATTATTTAGCATTATTATATCATTTATACAGTCATGGCCACCCTAATATACTTTACTTAGTCATACGTTATAGAAAGTTATTTTCAACGGACGGACGGAGGGACGGACGAACATCCATAAATCGGTTCTTTTGTCTAAATAATTTGTAATATAGATAAATATGAAGAGAAAATACTGGGTATTATCTAATTTTTTTCGCAAAAAAGAACCACCTTAATATATATTAGCTTCATAAAGTTATTTTTAAGGGACTGAAGGACATCCACGAACCAATCCCTCTAGCTACGATCCTTAACTGAAATGGTAAATATCATGCTAGAGAAGAACTATGTCTCCTTATTATCTGCTTTTAACAAATACAACGGCCCTAATATTAGTTATTTAACCATAATCCTAAGAAAGTGGATTTAAACAGACGGATGGACATTAATACTTATATCAACTGCTTTACCTACAAACTGTTTTAAAATAAATAAGATAATAGGTTTATTTATAAAGAAACACCAATTTCCAACAAATTTCTATTTTAACAACAAATTCTTCCTCCCCATCCTTTAAAAATTCACATAAAATTAAAAAAAATACATTAATGTTAAACTCTCTCCCCATAATCTAAACACAAAATTTAATGTCTGTTAGAGAACGCTACAAACCAGCAGGTGCATTCTAATGATTTTAATGTATTTAGTTGTTTTTCTTCAACAACCACCGTTAGAGCTACAAAATGTTTAAATTTTATGAGTTTTAAATAATTAAAGCTGCAGCAAAAGCTACAGCACAAAAAGTGTTTGCTATATTTTTATAGCTTTTGCTAAAACATAAACAACTAAAAAGAAGAAGAAAAAAAAAACAACAAACTAGGTGTTGGATGGTAAGAAAAACTATATTTAATTAATTTTATAATAAAAGTTAATTAGTTAAATAAGATAAATATTTAAAGATAGTTTAGGTTTCTTTTCAATCTATCAAATAACTTTACAGCATATTTCTCTCTAAACTTTGTTATATCACATATATTTTGTTTTGCATAAATTAAATTAAATGTTGGCAAATTTACAGCTTAAATATGATGGTAAGATTTTTGTTCCTCCATATTCATTCATTAATAACTTCACCGTATAGTATTAATTTGATTGGCAATTATCGTATTAAATCTACAATAGCGTTTAAAATTTAAATTAATATATGAACAGAATTGAATGTTGATTAATATTATGGACAGTGTTTTAGTAAAGAAAAAAAAAAAATGTGGAAATGAAAGAAGACAAAGAGAGCAAAAATTATAACAAATAATTCCCATACACGATTCTTCATCCTTAAAAGCTAAAGTATTCGATTTAATAGATGTTAAAGAAACAACTTTAATCTTGTCTGTCCATCCATTTTTCTCTTGAAAGAAACTTTTCAAAGCTTATATACTATGACCCTTAAGGTGACTCTGTTTTCCATAAAACAAAAATATTATCAATAGAAAGGTTTAAATGCTTATCTTTATTATCTGTCATATATTTCAGATCCTTAATGCAAGAGAAAGCAATTTAATCATGTCCTTCCATCTATATTATATATTGAAATAAACTTTTCCAAGCTAATAAATAAATAAACAACATTAGGGTGGCTGTGTTTTACAAAAACAAGAAAATCTGGTTAATGAACTACTTTGGATTTTAATAGAGAAATCGAGTCAACAACGTCTGTCTATTCCCTGTCTATTAAAACCAAATTTACAAAACTATAGACTGATCAATAGTCAAGACTATAGACTGATCTATAGTCAAGACTATAGACTGATCTGTAGTCAAGACTATATACTAATCTATAGCCAGGACTTTAGACTTGTCTATAGTCAAGATCATAGTTCAGACTATAGACTGATCTATAGTCCAGATTATAGACTGATCTATAGTCCAGACTATAGATTGATTTATAGTCCAGACTATAGATTGATTCTAGTCCATACTATAGACTGATCTATAGTCCTGACTATAGACTGATTCATAGTCAAGATTATACACTGATCAATAGTAAAGACTATAATGAAGACTATAGACTGGTCTATAGTCAAGACTATAGATTGATCTCTAGTCCATACTATAGGCTGATCTATAGTCCAGACTATAGACTAATCTACAGTCAAGACTAAATATAGACTGATCTATAGTCAAGACTATAGACTGATCTATAGTCAAGACTATAGATTGTTCTATAGTCAAGACTATAGATTGTTCTATAGTCAAGACTATAGACTGATCAATAGTCAAGACTATAGACTAATCTATAGTTAAGACTATAGACTAATCTATAGTCAAGTCTATAGACTAATCTATAATCAAGTCTATAGACTAATCTATAGTCAAGACTATAGACTAATCTAGAATCAAGACTATAGACTGATCTATAGTCAAGACTATAGACTGATCTATAGTCAAGACTATAGACTGATCTATAGTCAAGACTATAGACTGATCTATAGTCAAGACTATAAACTGATCTATAGTCAAGACTATAGACTAGACTGTTCTATAGTCAAGACTATAGACTGTTCTATAGTCAAAACTATAGACTGTTCTATAGTCAAGACTATAGACTGTTCTATAGTCAAGACTATAGACTGTTCTATAGTCAAGACTATAGACTGTTCTATAGTCAAGACTATAGACTGTTCTATAGTCAAGACTATAGACTGTTCTATAGTCAAAACTATAGACTGTTCTATAGTCAAGACTATAGACTGTTCTATAGTCAAGACTATAGACTGTTCTATAGTCAAGACTATAGACTGTTCTATAGTCAAGACTAT